ACACACACACACACACACACACACGCACACACACACACAGGGTGTGTGGGCACTTCCCGCTCAAACTACACAAACATGGGGAACCTTGCACCTTCTGTTATATTCCCTGCCTATACTTTTTTTGTTTTATGGATGGTTGATGATAATTTGTGGATGGATTGGGAGAAAGAATTCAGGGGCTCTTTAGAAAATGCACACACTCCCGCACGTGCGACCATCCATGAGACTGTTCGATGGTGCCTCGTGCGAGTAAAGTATTGTCCGCATACCATCTGCAACGGTTAGGCCACACTCAATCACGCAAACATGGGAAACCTAGCAGCAGAAAGTTCGAAACAAAATAAAAAAAGATGAACAGAAAGGTAAACGGCAAAGGGAAAAGACCAAAAAGAGAATTCCTTGAGAATGCAGTGAGCACTGAGCAGTACGCAGTGGTGCATGTTGTGGAGGCTGCCAGGTTACACATAGCAGGCATTGCTATTCATCTTACCTTCTGTCTCCTTCTTCTCTGTGCTTCCCCCCCCCCCTTCCCCCCGTACCTCCCGGGAAGGGGTCATAACTTTTTTTTTTTTTTTTTTTTTCCTTCCGCTGTTTTTATGTATGCGCCCATGGTTCAGCACTTGTGAGAATTTCTTCTATGCAGGGCCACTCAGTCTTATGTCAACAAATGGAACAAAAGTTCAAAACACTGTTGACTTTTCAAGTCAATTCTCCCATTCATTTACAGGCCTCGCTAGAGGCTTGTTTTCGCGAAACTGTTTGTGACGAATTTTGCTTTTCAAGCGGCTCGAAGAGCGGTCGTTTTCGGGGAAGCATACCCTGCAGCCCTTCGGCCTTGTGCACTTGGGGAAGCACCCGAATGCACGCTGGCCTTCGGCCCTCACGCTTCGCGTGAGAACAGTCCAGAAATTCCGGATCGTATATGCTGTCCAGCACCACGGTGAGGGCTTTCTGTACAATAAGATAAGGCCACGCTTGCGGCTCAAATTTACCAGCTTGTAATTGCTGACTCAATTTTGAGAACCAGTTGATCGTGCGAAGTGTCTGGAGTGTATTTTCTGGCTGTGATAGACCACTGTCTTCGTTTCGTGGGTGTTTTGCTGGCTTGTGATGGGGCGTGAACCGACAGTCAGTAGTGTTTTCCATCTGATGTGGGTGAGTGATAGTCTGCTTTGATTTTTGCCACAGCTACCTTGAGGGCAGTGGTTGGTGGCCACCTCAGGGTATCCGTTGTCGGGCAGTCGTTGACGCTTAACCACAACTGGGGTGAAGGTGGATTATCACTTACAGTGTAATCAGTTTGGGGATTCTGCAGACTGTTGAGGGTCCAACCTGCTGATGAGTCGGCGAAACTCCGACGAAACAGTTTTTCACAGCCCCTCGTTTGTTCTCCTCTTCTCCTTCCCTCTCTGCCTACGGTTTACCAGGCAGCTCTTTTTGACGATTTTACGATTTCTCCTTCCCTCTCTGCCTACGGTTTACCGGGCAGTTCTATTTGACGATATATATATATATCATCAAATAGAACTGCCCGGTAAACCGTAGGCAGAGAGGGAGAAGAGGACAACAAACGAGGGGCTGTGACAAACTGTTTCGTATATATATAACAGTTTGTCACAGCCCCTCGTTTGTTGTCCTCTTCTCCCTCTCTGCCTACGGTTTACCGGGCAGTTCTATTTGACGATATATAT